CTCTCTTTTTTTTTTTTTTTTTTTTTTTTTTTTTTGTCCCCCTGCGTATTTATCACAGTTGGATAATTGATCTCCTCCACTACCTTACCTCTGGAAATCCCATGGAGGAAGCAGTTCTGGTCTGCTAGTCTGCTACATGTAGGCTTATATGTTTCAGTCAAACATCTTGACCCAGGTTATGTGATGTCTTTGAAAGACTGGACATCATTTGTTGAGGACACAAATGTGTTTGGTCTGAGCTGAACAGAAGATTTGGATGATTCTTGATCTTATTTTTTTCTGTTTCCAGACATTTAGTTTGAGTTTGTCTGCCCAGGGATGCAGCCTAGAGGGTTATCAGTTAAAAGTATCCCATAAAATTTCCTCTCCCTCAGACCACAGCTTAGACACACTCTGTGGCTTTAACACCCCTCAGCCCCACAGAAGAGAAACCCAGGATAGCAGTCTGCAGGGATCTGTAGAGCTTGTGGGTCTCCTTCCATGTCTTCCTGCATAGCTATAGGTGTCGCACAGCATTTTCTGTTAAGCTTCAAAATCTTCGGCTTCTATAAGAATATATTTATTTTCTGATTTTCTGTTTTCACGCCACACGAGTTGGTCTGTCGTTAATGCAATGAATTTCACTTTCTGCAAAGTTGAAAATTCATGTTCCTAAAACATGATGGGAAATCAGCAAAGAAGATCTAAATTGAGCCAAAGCTACAGTACCAGTCAACCATAACAAGTAATTAACTCCATGGTCATTTCACTCACAGCTTGACAGAGAAAATGGCAAGAAAACAAAATATTTTTCTTGAATGTTAAAAATATGGGGCCAGGTTCACTTCTGCTGATGACACATCATAAGGTGTGGGCCCTGTTGACCGAGTAACTACAGCAACACTAATTATTTGCAGCCCTCTACCCTGCAAGGAGCTGAGAGCAGCCCTGTGCAGGCTGGGAGATTGCTTGGCCCAGCTGTGCAGCCAGTGTGTGCTGGACTTGGGCTGTTGTGATATTGCAGAGGCTTCTGGTGGCAATGGTAAGGAGCTGGGATGTAGAGCTGCTCCCTGCGGAGGAGGTACCTCAGGGAAAGAACATGGTCAGTGGTACCGCTGCCTGACCTTCCTCACAGGGAACTTCTGGCAGGAGATAACCATCACAAGGTGTACTTCTGTTATGATTTCAGGATCAGCTAAGCCTGTGATTTTCGAACTATTTATATTGGGGTGAAAAAAAAGGAGGTTTTGTTTTTGCAGGGTTTTTTAAATGCAAAATACATAAAGCATGCAGTTGATTTCAGCATCCAGTAGATGCAGGCTCTGTCCCAGGATAGATTAGGAGGTGGGACATGGGAAGGTCTGCAGAGAAGCTTTAGAAATTGTGAAGCCTGGAATGAAGAGCAGACTGTCCTTGAGATCTCCTTACATCTCATTCTATATCATTGAGACCATCTTGCTGCTTTTCTATGAGGAACTACCTCCAAAGTAGGTTAATATTGCCAAGATACTTGGTGTTGTGTTAAATTGCTTACTTTTGTTTCAGATGATGCATTAAAAAAATACTGTTGTTGTTTCAAACAAAAAATAAAAATGTTTGGTCTAGACTAAGAATGTGCATCTGTAACTGTTTTCATCCGTTGTCTGTTTAAAGGCATTTATCAAATAATATATATAATATATAAAACATATAGTATATACAGTACATAAAATATATAGTGTATATATATAAGATATCTGCACAAATATATATTTTTAAAAGACTGTGTCTCCATTCACAGGAAATCACTGATAATGAAATATTAGAGTTGGTACATAGTGCCCTGGGGAGGATGACAGTTATCCGGCAGATTTTCCCCCTCTCAAGGGACAACAATCAGAGATGCATGAGGAACAATCACCGAATATCGTCACTGCTGTGCGATCCACAAGAAGGCTATCTTCAGATGCTGCAGGTCAGTAGCTGTGCCCAGCAGAAAAGTCCATCTTAGGAATTTGATATGAGACAGTTTTCTGTGACTGTATTACTTCAGAGTAAAAATGAGTACCGACAAATCTGAGCATGTAACCTTTGATCAACTTTTCCTGACTTAATTATTTATTTAATTTCCCAGGACTGAGTGCTTACAATGTGATGTTATGCTCATGAAGTACTAGCAAGTGGTTGCACTAAGTCAGAGCTGATTTGGGATATTTATTTCTCTCAAGAATTTTATTCTATTTGAAAAAATAAAAATTTGTGCCCTTATAGTCCTGTTGTGTTACTGCTTATTTTTATGCCCATTCGATATCTGTTGTGAAAGAGTTAATCTGGGAGGATTACAGAACTCTGGTAGGTATTGGGCTGTGGAGCATATAATATTTAGTGAAATGGACTGAATCTAGCTGATGTATTCAATCTGTCCTGTTTCAATAGTCTCAGAAGTCTTTAGCAGCTGATAATTGTCTGTGTGTATCAAATACGCACTACTAGTTCAAGTTCCAGATTTTGGTAACAGATTTGACTCTAGTGTAAGCAATAGCTCAAGATTTCTTGGCAATTTATTACAGATATCAGGATTTTTTTTGTGCAGTAATGTAAGTATATTTTTAGGTGCTATTTCCAAGGGTAGCGTAGTAATTTAGAAACACAGGTCTTGGACTTTCAATGGGAGTCCATGTGTTTCTGGTTTACTTTAGACACTATTAAGAATCTTATTGATAGCACTGTTGAAGCTATTGGATAAAACTGAAAACTTCAGTGAGACTGAGCATTTAAGCTTGATTAGAACCTTTTTATTGCAAATTTAGTCTGGATTTAGATGGACTGAGTGAGGACACAGTGGTTGAGCCTGTGACTTGGCAAGTATGGGTATTGTGTTAGTGTAAATCTAGAAAGGGCTTTTTTAGGCTGTGGGGATGGGCTGCTGCAGCCCAGTCAGGACAGTAGTGTGGGATGAGAGGTCATAGAATCATAGAATGGTTTGGGTTGGAAGAGACCTTAAAGATCATTGAGTTCAAATCCCCTCTGCCATGGGCAGGGACACCTCCCACTAGACCAGGTTGATCAAAGCCAATCCAGCCTGGCCTTGAACACCTCCAGGGACGGGGCATCCACAACTTCCCTGGGCAACCTGTGCCAGTGCCTTACCACCCTCACAGGAAAATATTTCTTCCTAATATCTAGTCTAGATCTCTCCTCTTTCAGCATAAAACTATTACCCCCCCCATCCTGTCACTGCACTCACTGATAGAGTCCCTCCCCGTCTCTCTTGTAGCCCCCTTTAGGTACTGGAAGGCTTCTGTAAGGTGTCTGGGTCCTTACCAGAGGGTAACTCATTCTGTCTTGGAAGGGCTTCTGCAAAGCAAGGAGTGAGGCTTATGGGAAACCAGGAGAGGTAGGGAGATTCTCAGGAAGAAAAGTTGGTAGGTCAGATTTTCCAAGGAACATGTTTGTTTTACTTGTTTGTGCCCTACTAAAATACTGTAGTGGCAGAGACTGAAATCCTTTGAGGGGGGGTATTGACGTTTCCTCCTCAAAGAGAACGTCTCAGGTTTTGTCATAGTGGTGGCAAAGTCTGGGAAATGCACTGTAGTTCTAAGCACTGACCTGTTCTTTCTGCACTGAGGAAAGTCTATGCCTAGCTTGGCTTAGACGGAAAAGACACTTTTGATCTTTGTTAGTAACTCTGAGGTACGCTGTAATGAGAACAAAGGCCACTCATTTCAGGGGATCAAAGCAATTTCCAGTATATTGAAAAAAATATCTATCCTGCACCAACAAATCACTTATTGGGGAACAATCTTACATTACAACATTGCTGTCTATGCTGATTTATGCATAATCTAGTTCAGAGACTCATCTGAAGGGCTCTGACAGACCTCTCTGAGCAAGTTCTTATTTGCTGAAACAGTAACAGGTTTGCTAGCATGAGCAGCCTCGGGCTCTATTACCAAATTTCACTGTTAAGGACCCTTTAGGAGCCT